TCCCTCTCTCTCTCTCTCTCTCTCTCTCTCTCCCTCTCTCTCTCTCTCTCTCTCTCCCTCTCTCTCTCTCTCTCTCCCTCTCTCTCTCTCTCTCCCTCTCTCTCTCTCTCTCTCTCTCCCTCTCTCTCTCTCTCTTTCTCTCCCTCTCTCTCTCTCCCTCTCTCTCTCCCCCCTCTCTCTATTTAGTTTTTCATTCCATTCATATTTTGACATCATTCCATTGCAGTGAACCGCACACAGTCTGTCAAACAAATGCTTGTGTACCCATTACATCTCACACATTTCCCAGTATAATCCTGATCTCATGTTGTGGTCATGTCATGATTCTCAGTCAACCACAGTGCCCTTCATAACGACATTATGAACAGCAATTAATTGTCTTACGGGTTCATAGTTTGTAGTATCATTAGTGAAATATGAGAATTAAGTACATGCTGTGTATGTGTTTCATTATTATTTCTATTTTTTATAGTATTGTTTCTTCTCTATAGGTTATCCTCATGGCCATCCCGACTGTCCTGATTATCTAGAAGACATCGTTCACCTAAAGGAGAAAGTTGATGCAGGTGCCGACTTCATAATAACCCAACTCTTTTTCGAGACCTCCACTTATCTCAAATTCTATCGGGACTGCCGTGAGGTGGGCATCAAGGTCCCTATAATCCCCGGGATCCTCCCTATTCAAGGCTACCAGTCCCTCCGGTCTCTTACCAAGCTATCGAAACTTGAAGTACCTCATAATATACGAGAGGCGATACAGCCAATAAAGGACGACGATGCTGCTGTGAGGAGCTATGGGGTCCACTTGGCTGTGCAGATGTGTCGCGAGCTGTTGGATAGTGGAGTGGTACGTTTAAAAAATGACAAAAAATGCTGCTATAGTGTTTGTATATGTGTATAAACAATTCAGAGTAAAATGAGTTGTGGAAATCTATCTGTGACCTTTACTATTTTTGTTTTGCTTGGATGGCATGATGAACACATGCATGGCACATGCTTTTAAAGCAATTGATAAGTACATATACATGTACATGTACAATACATATGCAAATGATGCCATTAAGTAAAAGCCCCTGTAATATCAGGCCAAAGTCCCTGTACTATAGTACAGTGTCTTGGACAAATTTTGCGAAACTTGAGAAGGAGAGAATTCTCCATTTGACTATTTTTATAATTTTTTCTAACACATGCATTGTACATGTATATATTCTTATGTTAAGTAGCAAGTTTGAGCTGAATTTGATCAAGTTACTCCAAAATCAAGTAAAAGTCCCTGTACTATATAGTATAGTACATGGTCTTGTGCCAAATTTTCCAAAATTGAAAAGTAGAAAATTCTCCATTTTTATAGTTTTTTCTAATGCATGTACAGTAGATGTTGTTACATGTATATGTTGTGTGGAAAGTTTAAACTGGTTTCAATCAGAATCAGATTTTTTATAAATTTTAAAGTTGCTCAAGTATCGGGCCTTATGCATAATTACAGCAATCACTCATCTGTTGTAAATATGAGATCTGATTGCAAGCTCCGCTGATATTGTTTCAAAGGATTTTTTTGGCAATTTGGCATACAATGCATATACATTATATAGAGCATTCCAACATAGATGTACGTGTGGCGCTCTCATTATTGCATCGATTTATGTAATATTGTGTACTCTGCCAAATGGATAAGCAGTTGCTTAACTTCATTGCATTTGATATGCTTATGTACGTACAGAATTGATTTTGATTAAATGGTACCCTACATGTGCATGTGCACGTGTAGCGCTACGGGCAAATGTTGGTCCTGACACTCCGACTTGTTTTTCCGATACCTTCAACAAATGAAGGTGATTTGCCCAACCACCACAAGGCAGCAAATTTAGTTATTACGTTTGTATATAATACATGTACATTTATCCTTTGTGTGTGTGCGTGTGTGTGTGCGTGCGTGCGTGTGTTTTACATGTACTTTGTTACTGCTGAACTTTATATGTGTGTTTTCTTTATTGATACAAATGATCTGTATAGTAATGTGTGTGTGTCTGTTAATTATATCTTGTATTACGGTAATACGATTATCAGTAGCTAGGGGTAATACAATATGTGATGCATCTGTTATTTAATTATTATTTTGGGTCCACGTTCGAATAATAATAAACTGACTCAAGTGTGAAGAATAAAGACTACGTTGCATGTCTGTCGAGCCAAAAATTATTTTTTTACTTCAAGAAATTGATAATTAACTTGTTTTGCATTGAAACTGTACACAAAAAAAGGACATGTACATGTACATGTATACCTGTACATGTATACCTGTACATCTACATGTACATGTACATGTACATATAGCTGTATGTACATGTACATGTATATTGTATTTATTACATGTACTTCTTGTGTCTCTAATAGGTCAACGGTCTTCATTTTTATACGCTCAATCGCGAAGTCGCTGTGGTTGACATTCTGAAGCAGTTGGGTCTTTGGTGCGAAGACCCGCTCGCCATGAAGGCTCTACCCTGGAAGCAGTCCGGGAACTCTAAGAGGCGTTGTTCCGAAGACGTGAGGTGCGGCATTCTTTGTGTGGCACTCAGCCGAGTAAAAATTTTTGTGATTAATCGCTAAATTTTTGACGCCTGATTTTTTATTCTTTTAAAAAAATCTAGGCCTATATTTTGGGCTAGCAGACCAAAGAGCTACATATACAGGACACAGGAATGGGACGATTTTCCTAATGGGAGATGGGGAGCATCTGAGAGTCCTGCCTTTGGAGACCTTAAGGTATTTTATAATACATATACATTTACACGTACATGCATGTATAATACATATGTACATTGTACATGTAACTTCTAGTGAGTAGAGAGAATCAATATCAAATCTCATTTTTTTCTTAATTTGCCTTAATCAGTTTAATCCTACTTGGCTGTCGTTCTCATGTTTATACACTTATTTAATTATTGGCTGTTAATGGCGTCTAATTAGATTATGTTTTGAAAAACCTGTCACCATAATATTAGTCTACAATTAATGGACTTGAATGTGTACTGTACTGTACATGTACTGTCTTCCAAGTTCTATTATTTGTGTGTATAGTCTAATTTGCTAATAATGTTTAATTTGGAGCTGATATTAAATAAGTGGGTGTCAGTTTAATTACTTGGCTTATTAATTAATGCATGGATGTGTATAGTAGTAATTGACCTTTACCATTATGTGAAAGGTCAACTCTGCTAGATTATTTGAATGAGTATTGACACCTGATGTGGTTTAGTATATCACATAGTGGGAGTATTGTCAGTCAATTCCTATTTGTGTGGTTTTAGATACTAACTGGGTGTGTACCTGGTAAGGTATTACTGTTGTGATATGCTACCCTTTAACACATTCTCCCCCTCCTTCCTCCTCCTCCTCCAATACATGTACATGTAGCTCTCATCTCCTGTTACATGTACACATTCACAGGCACAATGTGTATATTATTTATGCCTATGTTATGGTACTTTCATCTTGTGGTTGGGTAGGAGAGGAGCTAGAATGCTTGGAATCTGTTGAATTTATACAGTGTGTGTGTGTGTGTGTGTGTGTGTCTGACTGGTGGGGTCTTCTGGTACAGTTACTGTCAGTTCATTAGTTATTCTCAATAGTGAACAACACGACACATGATCATATTTGTATTTAGTAGTATCCTCTTCTTGTAGCTATTCTGTACTCTATACTATATATGCACAGAGTACACACGAGTCATTTGTACAGCAAATTTGCATTCATTAAGTCTACAGCTGTGTCATTCAAGGATTGTAATGTCTATAGCGTAAACTAATTGATTATTATTAATTATGATAACATCCACACATTTTTTTACATAAAATTTATCGTCACGAAAATCTGTTTTTATTAAACTAATTTCTCTGCTATTCCTTCGTGTTATTTCTCCTCTAGGATTATTATTTGTTCTATTTGTGCCTGCGGAGCAAGCCAGAAACGTGTCGGGCAATGTGGGGGGAGGAGCTTCTTGCCGTTAGTGACGTCCATCACGTCTTTGAGTGCTACATAACAGGACAAAAGAATAAAAATGGCGTCAAGGTAGTTTCACCATTACCACACAATCACCCTCTATCTCTCTATACCCTGTTGTTTTACTTCATAAATTAGTCACTTTATGAATTGGTTGTTAATTAATTTTGTACGTATACATACATTGTACAGTGTACATGCATTCTGCTACACTGTAATTCAATTACTAGTGATGATAGCTTCATGCAACAGCCAACCAAACAGACTAAACTTAAATTCTGAATTGCCAAATTCCTGCCTCTTCCTCATTTGGGCTTATTCTTTTATTTATAAGTACTTTTATGTGGATTTTTTTGTTAAGGTAACCTCTCTTCCTTGGAACGATGAAGAACTAGCTATAGAGACCTCACTGATTGTCGCACACTTGGCTCATGTTAATCGTCATGGGGTCCTCACTATCAACAGTCAGCCAGCTGTCAACGGGGCCAGCTCTTCTGACCCTGTTCATGGCTGGGGAAACAATGGAGGATATGTCTATCAAAAGGTATTTTGAAACTCAGTGTACTTTTAGTATAACCCTGTATACTATATTGGACACATTTCAAGTTGCTCAAAAATTGTGCCAAACACCCTGTACTTTAGTACAGGGATGTTGGCCAAATTTCATCAAAAGTGGATAGGAGAGAACTCTCCATTTTTATAATACATGTACATGTACATGTTCTTATGTTGTGTATTAACTTTGAGCTGATTCTGGTCAAATTTAGATTTTTTATGAATTTTTAAAGTTGCTCCAAATTTTCAGTTCATGAAGCTCATGCTGTTTGGCTCAGTTAGGATGCCTTGTGGGAAACCCTGATCTAGTATACTCTTGTATACTCTTGCATATGTTAGAATATTTTTATTTTTAGGCATATTTGGAGTTTTTCGCTAGTAGAGAGTTTGTTGCAAGTCTGATCGAGGTCCTGCCCTCATACCCGTGGGTCAATTACCACATTGTCAACAAGGAGGTGGGTGGAGCTGACCACACCTACTTTTAACACCTTATTTTTTATAGGCTACGATGAATATCACTAACTGTAACCCTCACAATGCCATTGCTGTTACTTGGGGCGTGTTCCCTGGGAAAGAGATAATTCAGCCGACTGTTGTTGATCCTGTTGCTTTTCATTATTGGAAAGTAAGGCGTCGGCTAATTATGATTATTAATTTGTTATTAATTAAATAATGATATAATAATTAATTAAATGTGGTGTGTGTAATGTGTAGAATTTTTCCTGTAATTATGTATATTTATATGGAAATCAAAGACGAATTTTTTGCTCAATTAATCCTTAATTCCCCTTTTCCGTGTGCCTTAATGTCTGCCTTCTAATGTCTAATGTCCAGCCAATTCTCTCCCTGTCTAGTAAGTGCATGGTACAATTACTAGTATGGACATGTACATGTTATATATGGTACGATTATAATACTAGAGGTCATTATGTACAATACGTGGGGGTCTGGGGGATCTACTTTTTTGTACTGGATCGTGTGCCTTTTATGTCTGCTCTCTAAACCTTAATGTCCAGCCAATTCTCTCCCTGTCTAGTAAATACATTGTACCAAGAGTAGATAATAATTAGAGGAGAGTGTCCTACTGGCTATAAGGTCTGCTTCATCAGGGCGTAGAATTGAAGAGTCACATTCAGGATATTTTCAGTATTTTTGAGTAGTTATTCAAAAATAACTAGCAATAACTACTCAAACTTAATAAAAATACGGAAATATCCTGAATGTGACTCTTCAATTCTATATTGCACAGTAGGACATTCTCCTCTAATTATTATTTACTCTTGATGGTACATGGTACAATTACTAGTATGTACATGTACGTGTTGTACTGTACATGTCCACATACATGTACATGTACACGTACATGTACATACAATTATAATACTAGAGGTCATTATGTACAATACGTGGGGGTCTGGGGGATCTACTTTTTGTACTGAATCTGTTTGTCTGTCTCTGTGTGTGTGTGTACGTGAGAGATTACCAATGATGTATATGTGTGTTGAATGCGAGTTATGTATAGTACACGATATCAATTACCTGCTTTCGTTCTCACACACATCACTCACTGGGAGATGGGAAAACATGGAAAGTTATTTTAATCATTTGCACACATCACATGTACGTGTACATATACTAGTACACACGCACTCATCCGTTGCAACCCCATTGGATAATAGGATTATCTATTCATTGCCATAACTAGAGTATAATAGTAAGAATTATAGTCAATAGCCATATTGTCTGGATCGCTCCGATATTTCCTGTACCCGGGACCATCTCAGCGTAATTTGATATTCTGTTAATTTGTCGCGTTATTTTAAAAATGTGTAGCGCCTTGAACTAACCCCAGGTGACTATATAGTAAAATTGTTACTGGTAACAGCATTGGTGAGGCATTGTTTGGGATTTTGCAGTTTCTATGCTATTTCATAACTTTGTTGTTTGTGATAAAGTTACACACTACTCACTACACAGTACACACATAAAGCATGTACATTTTAACTACCGTGCATTAGCCTGTAATGTAATAACTCATAAGAAAGATTGGTGGTTGCATTCAATATAATGTACAGTACATCTACATGTATATGTGAATGCATATGCTGTACCATCTATAGAATGATACTGGGTACAATTTTATGTGCTGTTAATCTTGTTATTTCATGGTGATTCTCTGTATGTGTAGGGGTAGCATTCTTTCAACGAAATGTCTGTTTTATGTTCTGTTTCCTACACGACTTTCTCTTGTACTTAATGTGTCCCTTGACAATTAAGTATCCTTTTATTTGAATTGTAGGAATGTAACTCACTGTAGTATTACTATTATTGTTTAATTGTTATAGGCGTGTGAAATTATGACAGATTGATTGTTATGGTCCGTGTTACCTCTTCCTTTTTTCTTTTGATTGTTGCTATTGCTGTCTTCCTGTTTTTGTGTTTGGTACAAGAATTGCTTTTATTCCATGGGCAGATCTCTTTCCAGCCCAGCTATAAGTCTTAAGTTTTATATTTTTTCTAGAACATGATTTTACATGGTTATCTTGTAGAGAATTTTTAAGCTAATTCGAATCCAAAGTTGAATATTTGCATGTATAATAAATTTTTGAAGCTGCTTAAATATTTTGACAGAATACATGTACCTTGGGGCTTTAAAAATTGGCTCCAAAATCACCCCAAATTTTTATTACATTTTTTGATACACATTGATGTCCTTACGCTGTGTAGCAATTTTGAGCTGATTCCGACTTCAAATTTTCAAGTTATGGCCATTTTTAGAAAATGCCAAAAATTCTGAAAAATACCCAAGGCTATAGCCCATTTTACAAAATTTTCTTTGAAATAATAAGAGAGAGACAGAGATAGATATACAGTTAAATCATTGTAATAAATTTATAATAATTAAATAAATAAATAATTTAGTTAGTAATTTATTATGTGACCATCGGACAGTGCAACATCAGGATCATAAACACTGGGCCGATACAATGATTTTCTTGTTCCTCAAATGCAACGGATAGCCCGTGGTTTTTTTCAAAAAATGGCTCCAAAATCACCCCAAATTTTTATTACATTTTCCGATACATATTGATGTCCTTATACTGTGTAGCAAGTTTGAGCTGATTCCAACTTCAAATTTTCAAGTTATGGCCATTTTTAGAAAATGCCAAAATTCTGAAAAATACCCAAGGCTATAGCCCATGGTTTTTTTTTTTGAAAAAATGGCTCCAAAATCACCCCAAATTTTTAATTACATTTTCCGATACATATTGATGTCCTTATGCTGTGTAGCAAGTTTGAGCTGATTCCGACTTCAAATTTTTCAAGTTATGGCCATTTTTAGAAAATGCCAAAATTTTAAAAAATACCCAAGGCTATAGCCCATGGTTTTTTCCAAAAAATGACTCCAAAATCACCCAATTTTTAAATTACATTTTCTTATACATATTGATGTCCTTATGCTTTGTAGCAAGTTTAAGCTGATTCTGACAAATAATTTTTGAGTTACGAGCAAAACATTTTGTGATACATACATGTACATGTATATGTTTTTAATATAAATTTTGAACTGACTTCGTATTAACACTACCTCTCTCTCTCTCTCTCTCTCCTTAGGATGAAGCCTTTACTATATGGCACACACATTGGGCCAATCTTTATCCCCAAGGATCTCAATCTCGCTCTCTCATAGACCACATTCAAAACACCTACTGCCTTGTCAATCTTGTTGACAATGACTACATACGAGGTAACCAGCTCTGGTCTCTGATCGATGACGTCTTGGTCAACACTGGCGCCATTACTGAGCGGTTCAATCCGGAACAATTCACCACCAGCCGTTAATAATTACCTGATGAATTACACGGTCTCTTTCCTTTCCTTAGTGAAAGTTTGTAGTGATAGACTTTTATTTCTTATAATTATTATTTATTGTTGATAGTTATTATTATTATTATTTATTGAGTTTTTTGCTATATTTGCGAATTGTATTCAACCAAGAAGAAGAGAGGTTTACTCGTACATACATGTACACACACACACACACACACACACTCATATTGCCTTAAATTGATTATTAAGCTTTTTACTTGTTTGCTGCTATGAGTGGCAGTAGCTGAAACTTTTTTGTTTAGCTTTTTTCTTAAAAGTTTATTTTTCTTGATAATAATAGTAGTGTGTTTGACTTTGTTTTTGGAGTGTTTCTTTTTTAAAATGTTTTAAAATTTAGCAATTTTTGTGGGTGTGGTCCCAATTTGGGCGTGGTCTTGACCTGTCAAGAAAGGGTTAATTATTTTGTACCTGAACACTATGAACAGTGCAGTGAATCTATAAAAAAGATAATATACAATGCTTTCTGGAAATAGATTATGGCGAGTTAGAAGAACTCGTTACAGTTATAATATACTGGGACTCGTGAAAAAAGGAGAGGTAAATTTTTTAGCGATATTTATTGAGTAATTAAAGCCAAAAAAATTCCTCTAAAACCAGCTAATTAATTATTATAGTTCATATCTGAGACCTTTTTGCTGTGTAAAAAATTATGAAAATTTTAATTAGAATTTTTTTGATTTACATATATCAACAAACAATCAAAATTCATTAAAAATGATATTAATAATTATTTTTTTTGTTCACTTAAAGATTGAGAAAGCTGAAGAAGTCCTTCAGAGTATGATAGACCGTCGTGTCTATCCTGATATCTTTGCATATAATGCACTCATTAAAGGATATGTACTGACCAGTGACGCTAGAAAAGCTTTTAAAACATTTAATAATGTAAGTAAGAACACATGCACATGTACTTATGTATAGGTTGGGGGGGGAATAAATAATATAATTTTATATATATCGTAAAAATTAAAAAAAATTGCCCATAGAAAATTGAATTTTTAAACCATTTGTATTTTTTTAAAAATTATTATGGACAAAATTTAATTTTTTTCAGCGACTTTCCAAAAAGACAAAATTTTGATATGTCAAAAATTTTAAGTGTATGGTGTAATAATTTATGTCCCCCGTGATTATGTAAACCTCTTTTTCTTCTTTCTCTCTCTCTCTCCCTCCCTCCCTCTCTCTCTCTCTCTCTCTCTCTCTCTCCTCTCTCTCTCTCTCTCCTCTCTCTCTCTCTCTCTCTCTCTCTCCTCTCTCTCTCTCTCTCCCTCTCTCTCTCTGAATAGTCATAGCCGCACCCCCATTGATTACATCCGTGCAACAGCTTAACGGTTGCTATCTCAATAATTCCTCCTCCTATTGTGGAAAGTAGTTCATAAGGTTTTCTTTCTCCCTCCTCTTGAGTTTTTCTTAAGTTAAACCAGGACAGAAACAGTAGAGTCTTCACCGCGTTACCTCCTTTAGCCCATTTTTGCCGCTGGATCTAATATCTTCATCTTCTTTAGGATATTGATCTACACTAAATAATATCAAGACAAACTAGACCATATCTATGACTAGACCAACACAAAAGACTCCTTTCCTATCAGGCGCCATTTTATTATCATTCAAAGCCAGTGCGCCCAAGTTACAGTTCTATTTCTATTTCTGCAGTTGCTAGGTTACAGTTGCTAAGTTAAAAGTTGCTAGGTTACTGTTGCTAGGTTACCATTTTTACTCTGCCCACATAGTAAAATTAGTTTAAAAAATTAATTAAAGTTTGTTTTTTTAATGTTTAAGAATTAAATTAAAAAATTGATTAAAATCAAATTTTAAGAATATTTTAATAAAAAATAATTTTAAAAACTAAAAATATTCGATATTTAATTTTATTTTAATTATATTATTCTTTAAAAAATAAAAAAATTGAAAAATAAAATTATAAATAATAAATAATTTATCATTTTGATATTAATTTTGTAATAACAAAATAAATAATATTATTAACAATAAACAAATAATTCATTAAAATTGAATTTTAAAAAATTGAATTAAAATTAAATTTTGAAATAATTATTATTAATTAAAATAGTTATTTCTTAACTTTAATTTTAATTCAATTAAAAAAAATTATTCAAAAATCAAAATAATAAATTATTTATTATTTTTTTAAAGAATAAATTAAAATATTATAATTAATTTTTTATTGCTAGGTTACAGTTGCTATGTTACAGCTGCTTGGTTAAGTTACTGTTGCTAAGTTACAGTTACCGCGATACACCACGCGGCTGCCCACATAATGTATAATTAATTTTTATTTTTAACCTGAACAGTGCAGTGAAAGAATAAAAATAATCATGCTTTCAGAAAAGAGATTATGGCAAGTTAGATGAACTCGTTACAGTTATAATATACTGGGACTCGTCAAAAAAGGAGAGGTAAAGATTTTTTAGCTTGATTTATTGGGTATTTAATGCCTGAAACTTTATCTAAAACCACCTAATTATTACAGTTCATTGACCCATAGAAATTTTCCTTTTTTTCTACCAGTCCATGCAAGAACCAAAATTTAATTTTTAACCCATTTGTATTTGACATGGTGGTTAAAAATTGTTATGGACAAAATCTAATTTTTTCAGAGACTTATAAAAAAGACAAAATTTTAATGGTATAACAATTATGTCCTCCATGATTAAGTACACCTCTTATTCTTCCTCTTTCTCCCTCTCCCCTAGTTAAAGAAGAGAGGTCTTATCCCATCAGATATTAGCTATGCAAGCATGTTTGCTGTATGCAGTCGGACGTGCAGTGTCATTAAATATCACACAGTTTCTTTCCTTTCCTTAGCGAAAGTTTGTAGTGATAGACTTTTATTTCTTATAATTATTGTTTATTGTTGATAGTTATTATTATTATTATTATATTGAGTTTTTTGCTATATTTGCGAATTGTATTCAACCAAGAAGAGAGATTTCATTTACTCTAATATCTATGGCATAATGATGGCACAGTGGTCCTGACTAGGTCTGACCTGTACCTCATAGCACATTTTCATGCCAACCACCCAATTTGTATAAACTCGGATATGCATATATACTTTGTCAACTGAAGATCTTCTGAACCTGTTCACTACAAATGACATTTT